GTTGCCAGAATTGTAGTGTTATACAATCAATCGCTAAATCTCATCTTGAAACTTTGGATAATATGTTAATATTCACAGCAAATCATTATATAATTAAAGTAAGCCTATTTAATCTTCTTCCATGTGTCCGAAGTGTCGAGTATGTAATCCAATAATGAATTTACAAACGTAGGCAAATTAAAAAAAAATTTAATAAATTATCAAAATATAAAAATTTATTGGGTATTTTTTTACTGTAGACTATATATTTCTAATAAATTTTAGTAGTCCAAACTATAATTACAAATTCAATATACAAAGAATAATTTATGAGTGTAATCAGATTCATAATTATTAATCAAAAATTAGCATTATTACTTCTTGAAATAATTCTTTCAATTTATAACCATAGTTCGACCTGAAATTACAGGATACTGAAATTTATAGGAAATATAGTCCATGATAAAAAAAGGTCAATTAATAAATTTTCATACATTTATAATATTTTAATAAATTTATTGTTTAATAAAAATACATTTATTCAATGTTAGCATTACACTCGTTAAAATTTAATTTTATAGTATAACGATACTGGGGATGACCTAATAGAAAGTCGAAATGTTAACTTGATAGATCGTACTAAATGGCAATATATAATATTAAGATTTGTCATACTAAGTATTAGTATAGACTTCCATGTTCTTTGTATTAAATTGTTTATTTCATCTATATCTTTTAATTATTATGCATTGACTAAACTTACGAAAATATATTCTTGAATTGTGTCACATGTATTTTTATCCAAGTTTGCAATTAATTTAATACACAAATTTGTTTAATATGGATTATAGATCTGCAATCGTGAGTAACTCCGCTCACTACAGTGATATGAAATTTTCAATGAAAACTTTGAACGATTCGAGTTGGCCAGTCAGACATCTGAATTTATTTCGTGTACAGTCGACCGGATTTTATGGTTAATCCATCTATTTTTTTTGTCGGATTTCAGGCAAATGGCGAGCCACAATCGTGCCAGGCGTAACGGGTATTTGGCTATCACGCATGCAGCATTATTGCGATTTAATGGTACCGTCGGCAAGCACGGTCGTTTATTATGCTACGCTACGTGTTGCTGCTTGCTGTGCCGTCGCCTATCTCGTCGGTCGTGCCTGTAAAAGCAACGGGTTATGGAGTAATAACTCGACGCTATATGACGCCGCGCCGCTGTGCAACGACGTACCCTGGTAAGCCAAACAACACAAACCGTCGCGACGCCTACGTTCGCACAAGCATCGTTGCGGGGTGACTCTCTACGTCTCGGATTCTCCTCGCATAAACGCCAGTCTATCTGATGTCCCTCGCGCGCCATTTAGCATTTAATGGACGGCACGCTGTCCGAAAAGTGCCGTTTATCATCTCGACGAGCTCCAACGCGGCTGCCGGAAGACAACAGCGTGGTAACTACTGATCAACGTTATAACGGAGCGGCAATGTGGAGAAAAAATCCCAAGTAAAACAAAAAGTCATCATGACATTAAAATTACGTTAAAACGGGTTCAAAAAAATTATTAAAACATCACTTTTTGATTAATTACGATTTATTTTAACGTTATTTTGAGGTCTATTCTTCTGCATAAATTTGATATGCATTTATATATATATATATATATA